CAACAACAACAACAACAACAACAACAACAACAACAACAACAACAACACGAACACATGATGACATGTAAGCTTTTGACGGCTTTCTGAAATGCAGGTCCCATGGCAGCCCCTTCTGTTTGCAAAAAGGGTCTGCTCCAGATGCCCAACTCTTGGGGGCAGATAACTATCGAGGCAGAAGAGTGTAAATGATGACATATGGATTGGTTGTTCCCTATCATGTGGGACTCGGGAAAAGAACACGGAGTGACGCCCACTAGTTGGGAGAATTCCCCTTCCGATGCGTATAGACATATCTCACCTATTTTCATCCTGTCTGGGGAGGAAAGTTGATGGACTGGCGATGCTTCGTCCGACAGGAAGTGCTACATGAAGTGCAACGTGCTGCAGTTGGCTCCTCAGCGAGAGCCCTTGGAATGTAGCTCCAGAAAGCCTTCAGCTGATAGATGTGCTTGGGGGCTTGAGAATTTAGCTGGCACTTCGTTGCAGAAGCAAAACATTGTTTGGACCAGGCAAGGTAGGAGTTCATGAAGACACCACGGAGGATGAGCTCGTCGGGTGTGGTTTTCCAGCGAAGGCACCCTCCTTGACCAGAAGTTGACGGTGGGTGAAATCTTTCGGAAAGTGGACGACAGGACAAGGTCCTTTCCCACTGGGTGATCAGGTCTGAAGGGTGTTGTTTGCTTTTGGGATCTTTTGGGAATAGCCGCTTAGATGAACAGGCTGCAAGATCAGCAGTTTTTCCCATAGCAGACTCTGCAAAGTTCTCCCCGCACCTCTGGCGCCGAGGACTTGTGCTTAGATCCTGACACCATGAGCTTTGACCAAGTCTCAGAGATGGTCTCCAAAGGCCTGGAACGGGATCTAAAGGAGCCCAAAAACCGGACTACCTGGATTCTGGATGCCCAAAAGCCACGAGGGTCTCCATTTCGCTGCTGTCATGGAAGTGCTTGAAATGGTGTGACAGGTCAACTCATTGTTCCAGAGATACTCGCATAATCTCGTATATGCATTTTCTTGCCCATGTCGCCAGGCCGCACCTTGCCTGGTATCCTTCAGATTGATGTGCCTCGTCAGATGGTAGCCGAGATGGATGCCGGTCGAAACCTCTGGCAGGCTGATCAGACGTCCGGTATGCAGTGACAGCCCGAGTTTGAAAGAATTACTCTTCCGCCCACATGCGTAGAAGCAGAGCATCAAAACACAGTTTTCAGCATGTATGTTAGCAGAGCCTCCACCAAAGACATGTCATCAACATAGTGGTAGAATGATTGCTTTACTGCAAAAACCACTAACCTAGCAGTCATGAATTTTGGGAGGGCCATAGGTCTATCCTGGGAAGAGATGTGTATGTGTATCAATCTCTCAGCACATGCAGTACGGCTTCCGTGTTAGTGGTGGAAACTGTGCATTTCCATGGATTTCATTCCACTTCCATGTTAGTCTTCATTCCTATTTTTCTTAGACAGTTCCCTAACATAGCAGTCAGACATATAGGTTTGGAGTGCCATGTATTTAGGTAATGTTTGGTTCCTAGCTTCCATGTACTGTATATGTGCAGAAGTGTAACTTTGGATTTAATTGTTCTCAGGTGGGGGGTGGGCGCCCCACACCTTAGCCAAAAATGAACTCTTGTTGTAATTGCCGTGTGAACTGTCTCTTCTGCAAGAATTATATAACTCCAGCTTTGTGCTCAACACACGTGATTGCATACCTTCCTCCTTTGTTTGTAGTAGCTGTAAACTAGATTCTTTCTTTATTGAGGATTTCCTTGCCACATTAATTAGGCCGAAGACAATGGCCCATACCTTGGGAAATTATTCCAGGGGATACCGTGAGTTGCTGGAATAAGTTTTCTGGAATACTTTTCCACCACAGGTATGGGGGGATGGTACCTTATGGTACAGAAGACATATATAAATTAGCTCATGTTTTATATGTTTATGTTGTTTCTCGACTGCCTCTTCAATTAGTGCCATTTGGACACGAGCTAATTCGTCAGTGAGCAAATGGAGTGAACACCTGTCCAGCGTAGGGGGACTAGGGCATCTCGACGTTTGTTCTTTTGGTTGTTTTTTTAGACTACCTGTTTCTTGTTGCTACTTGCAGGAGCGTATGTCGTGCTGTGGGTTTCTGACTTCCTCAGCTGTTGCGCTCTTGTGTTTTGTGTGCCCCACGCTCTGCCACCCTTCAGCACGCTGGGATAGAAGCTTTGCGCCCATGCTTGGGCAGTAGCAGTTTTAAGGCATAGGTTATGTGTTATGTTTCTTATATTTTCTTATGCTATGCATTTTTGATGTTTCCCATACCGCTTCATGTAAACAGGTGTTGCTTTCTTGGTGCTTGGGGATTGGTCTTTGCCTCTTACTCTATTGCGCTGTAGATGCATCAGTTCCGTGAGTATCAAAGCAACTGTTGTATATAACACAGAACTTAACTCATCAGTGAATCGTTTTTAGTAACGTTCAAAATGAGTCAATTGGAGACAGAAGAGGTGGTGAGACCCCCTATAGAAAATGGTTAACTTGTGTCTTAAGTGTGTAAGTCTGCCCTTTGCGGCGTTTTTCCATGTTTTTCCCCCTAAGTTCGACAGACTTTGGTTGCGGGGGGGTATGAGTGAGAAGGAAACGGAGGTTTCATTTGTGTAGGATTTGAAACAGACTCCGTCGATGTTTTTCATATTGTATCATACTGCCTCAATCAGAGTACTGCTTGTGACTTACACCTTGCAAGACGCCTTGAAGCTCTAGATTGATGGTCAAAACATGTCCGAGCCAGGAGTCGAGCTTCTTGTCAAGTAGCAACCAGGTGGTTTCAGTGTGCAGGAACTGGGCCCAAATAGGTAGAAAAGTGATCCCTCTGAACATGTATTGACACCGAAAAACTATCCAGTTCGAGACCACCATAGTTCAATACTATGCGACCCTTTGAGTTCTGTACGATCCGTTGAAAAACGCTTCGCTGTCAGGACAAAGTGGAAAAACCACTGCCCGCGAAGGATTCCGCATTGGAGAGACCCAAGACGCTCGGTCGCCGGGTGCCAGAGTCGGTTCAATGTGCGATGAATCCCTGGCATCGGGGCACCGCTCATTTGAGATCGCATTATATCGTTTCTGTCAGGGTGCAACATCATTTGAACAAACATCATTAATGAAATGTTCGAATTAAATATTATTATGCAGAATTATGCAAATAGTTCTATATAAAGATGACCCTGAAAGAAACTCACCGATGTTGGCTGTCTACCGTGCTACCACGAGCATCTCCAATCTCAGACTATTCTGACATCTGTGACAAGCGAGGAATCCCCATCAAGTACGGATACTGAAAATTGAGCAGAGCGGAGTCCACTCCCATTTCGAGGGCAAATCATGTTGGATACTTCAGGAAGATCAACTGCCGCATTGTGCTATTAGAATAGCATGGATGAACAGGTGCAATACAGGTTTACAGGGTTTGAGTTTCCTTTCCCTCATGCTTAGTTTGTTCCTTGTCGTTCCTGGTAGGGGAAGAGAGTTAAGACATACATTGAACGTTTGAGATTTTGCCTGACTCACCAAAACAGCATCCGGCAGCAAGGTCTGACATCACCTGAGGTGAGTTTGGGAAGAGCCAACCTACTAGTTACTAGCTCACCCACACCCGCCCTTCCCAACCAAAAAGCATTCCCAACAAAACAAGGACAGCTCTTTCATTCAGTTTGGTGCTGAACAGTTTGAAGTTCATCACTGTTCCATTTCGGTGCCCACAAGATTTCACTTGGTCCCATCCAGCCTCAGGAAGCCATGGGAGAAGTGAGCATGGGATGCTTGAGACCGGTGCAACATGAAGCAGGAACTCCAGAAAGACAAGCTCTTGATTGATCAGTTCTCCTACACCAACGCAGAGTCTCAATGGGAGGATCCCGGGAGCCCTGGGACACTCAAAAACAATGGGTATGTACAGAAGGTGGTGTAGTCCATCAATCATGTTTCCCCAACTGATTTGGAATACTATGATGCTCCGCCGAAAACACGGCGTAGTTGATGAGTCCGGCTCAGTGGCAAATTTAGCAAGTTCAACCCCCCAGAGAGCTAGTTTCGGGGGATCACTGGGATGGGCATCCATAGTGGGTTGTGGATGTAGTGGTCGCCCATTTGCCAAACCCATGTCCTGTAGGGGATGTCATCGACACCAGACACCAGATGTTTTGGCATGTTTTAGCCGTTGTCACCTGGATTTCCTCGCTCCAGACCCTCGAGGATGGCAGCGAAAAGAGTGCGCGTGCAAAGCGATGATTCGGTGGTCCCTGACCTATCCGACAATTTCCACATGTCGCCAGCCATGCAAAAATGACCCAGGTCTCTTTGGATTGTGTAGAAGTTGGCCTCTTTTGCGAGTCGAGTCCACCCTGAACATGCAAAACTGTTGAATCAATTTTGTGAGTTTGGACCAAGCTCAAGGTCAAAGTAAATATGACCAACACAACGAGGCCTCTATGAGACAGAAGTTGAGCATCACCCACGTGTTCTTTTTCCTACGTTCGCAATGTCGCGCTGTGCCCTTGAGAGGACCTTCGTACAGGCCCCTGTTTGTTGCCAAGCTGGCATGTGCACGTAAGATTCATTTTTGAGCAGACATACTTCTGAAATCTTCTGATTAGGCATTATTATTGGCATGTCTATATAAATGTACTCAATTTTTGGTTTTTAAAATCACTCTGGAAAGAGTATATATTGGTCGGTACCGTAAGTATATATTGGTCGGTACAGTATTTGTTGAGATCATTTACAGTATTGTTTTCTGTATATGTGTTTTATTATTATTTTTTTTTTTTTTTCGGACAAACAGAGGTTCATTATTGACTTTCTCGGAGATCGAATTGTGTGAGTATTGATTGGATCAACACTACGCGAGAAGGTGTCTTTTTCTTTATTGACAATTATTGTATGCTTTTTGTGTAGAGATCAAATTACGCAAGTAGTGCTGTTCTTTTGGCGGGAGACCTCAGGTTGAGAATTGACTCGTGGTTCAATAATTTATGTGAGCAGTATGTCGTAATACCAAATGTCTTGCATCTGAGTACTTCAACACTGGCTGCACACAGAATAGATGACCGCGGACCAGCAAAGTGGAGCCATTCCTTGTTGGCTGCATTGAAATCATTGACCACCCGTGGAACCTTCTCAGCCTCGCTGCCTCGTTTAACCCCGCAGCTTGGGCCCAGCCCGGCGGCCCCGCCCCGTCCGCCCGTGGGCGCCTGCGCCACGTCCCTCGTGGGGGGCCAGTCCAATGGACTTGGGGCGAGCCGTGATCGCTGGAGAGGCAGGGAAGCGAGGACTGAAGACATTTTGCATTTGCTCAAGCAGCTACCAGCTACCATCGGGGACCATGGGGGATGGTGGTGACCTGCTGACCTGTTGCTGGAAGCTCCTTGAATCTCAAGGACAGGTACTTGTCGGACAACCTCCAGACTTTGTTTGCAGTCGGTCTGGTGTAATTTTTGGAGGGAAGATATGAGGGCGGGAAGCAACAAAACAAAGTCTGGGGGTCCTAATAGGATGGGGAAGTACTTATGCTTGGTCTAGGTCAGACAGGTGGGCAACATTGGTTTTTCCAAGAGATCCCCGTGACTTGAAGTGTGGAGATCTACTCATCACCAACCACCCAGCTGGTGATTTTAACGGGATTGCTGCACAGAATTGGAGGGGCTCAACAGCATGGCATTGGAGATGCGCCTTTTGTGAGGATGGGTGATTGAGGACAAGGACGGGACACTGACACAAAAGAGATGATGATCGAACAGATTAGACACGTCATGTCAGCACACTTCATAGTCAGCACCGCCGCTGTGTTGGTCTTGTTTTGGAGCAGGTGAAGACTGCCCAAAAGGAGCTTGATATTTGCTTCTAGTAACAAGAAGCTACTAGGGGCTCCTGGCCTTACTTACTACAAGGAGCAAGGACGCTACTGGGGGGCTCCTGGCCTTACTACTAGGAGCAAGAAGCTACTAGGAGCAACGGGCATCGCTACGAACGGAGCAAGTTTGTCAACATCACTCCCCTGGACACCACTCCCTGGGTTCCTTAGCAATGGCCTCCAACTTACTAGCGATGGCCCCAGCAAACAGATCCACCACTGGCCATTGGGGACCTCCAGATTCCAACCCTCCGATCCCTTGCCTCAGGATGGCGAAGCGCGAATCTTGGATGGGCCGCGGGGTCCTCGTGCGCCCGGAAACCCAACGGAGTCGCTTCTCGCCGCACCGGATGATTCTTGGGAGACCAAATCCAAAGAGCTTCTCACTTCTCACGTTGGTTGAAAGCGTTCTTTCTTAAAATATGTTCGTAGGAGTTTGTGGAGCTTTCTCAAGTTCCGAGCAGCTATCCCAATAGAGGAAGAACTCAGAATTTTGAGGGCCAGGATTTGATCTCTGAACGGGGCAAGAACTGAAGAATTGTGCAGATTGACATTTTGAACCAACCTGCCATCGAGTTCAGGGCGGGTCCTTGTTCAAGCATTCGGGATTTCGTTCAGGAGCAGGGATGACGGTCAGCAAGACTTCCTCCTTTCGGCTTTTTCAGCATGGTCGTTTTGTGTGACAGAGGATTTCCTGCATGAAAATATGTTGGTCATCCACCTTTATCACCCCTCACGGGGTTTCGCACTGGCCAAGGATGGCGGAAAGAAGGAGGCTTCGGTTTCATCAAGCCTTCCGATGGCAGTCGCGACCTCCCAGTGGAAGGGGCGATGGGGTTTGGTGTGGTCCCACAAACAAAGGAAACAAGGAAACAAGTTCAAGGAATGTCTAGAGTCTAAAGGTCTAAAAAACAATATTCCAGTAAGACATCATGGAAGGTCAGGAGCTGGGTCCTGCGCTTCAGCAGACTCCAGACTGTGAAAGGGAGTATGTATTTTTTTTTAATGTTTTTCTTGTTCGTTTCGGTTGCATGATACCAGATGTTGTGACATGTCAAGTTGTGACCATGTGTGACCGCTTCAACAACTCGACTCGATTGATAGGCTCCGACTCAAGAAAGTTTTTGCCAATAACATGTTGTGTGCCTTTTTTACCATTGGGTTCATGGGATGCATCTGGGTGCAACCCCCTGTGATACTCTTCGAATGTGACCAGATTTGACCTGGGTGAGGAAGAACCTGGTCGGCTTCATTTTGACTGGATAGACACATATTAACATATGTAATATAGACGTGTTCACAGGGGATCCACTGCAACTTGTTGATAAATATTGACCCTAGTCTTAACCCTATTTGCACCTTGGAAAACTATGGACAACAGGTATTTGTTTGTGAGTAGGGTCCAGGTCCCTTGCTGGTTCGTTCTGCTGATTTGGCCAAGCGGCTAGCGGCCTCGGCAGCGCCAAGGCGGTGACCTCTTTTGTCATGTCAGTCAGCTGAGACAAGTGGAAGGACACGGAGACCGTCATTTGAGACGCCACTGGCGGACAGTGTGGAAGAGACTGTTCTGGAAAGTCCAAATCTGAAGACAAACCCTGCACCTGGCCTCAATGACTCAAGAGAACATGAGTCATCATGAGTCTGAGTCGAGGTGACCTTCGATACTTTTGACAGGGAAACGTACCATCTGGGTTCATCGGGGATTCACCACCTCCAAACACTGACTAGTGAACTTGCTGAGTTGAGGGTGAACATTGGAGGCTTGGGGCTTGAGCAGTTTGGCTAAAGAATGAAGACACATAAAGATTACTGTCTAGAGAGCTTAGACTTGCCTAAGAAGATTTCAGTATGCCCAAAAAGATGAGGATCATTTCTTCGACCAGGCTCCGGTCGACTTGTTTTGTGAGGAAGCATCAAGGAGGGCGACCGAGTCCGCTACACCGTGACCCAGGAGGGATGGGGTCGAACCGAGAAGCCGTCGAGTGCCGTCGAGCCCGTCAAGCGTGGTGGGTAACATGATTCGAACATCTTTGATCTGCCCACAGGTAGATTGTGGGAAGATGTGATTAACTGAATGAAAGGCGGGCCACTCCAACAACTTGGTCTGTGAACTATTCAAGGATGGCCTGTCTGGGAAACGCATGGCTGGAAACGTGGCAGGGAACCCCAGTCCAGTGAAGGATCCCGCGGCGCTGTCGTATGACACGGTGACCTATAGGGCAACATCCCCAAAACTATGTCAAATAGAGTGTGCCGGTCCCAAGCCACTTGAGCAACCAGAACGCGACGAACGGGGCTCCTGGCCTCGCTACGAACGGAGCAAGGACGCTACGAGGAACTGGAAGGATCGGGCTCAGATTCGGATAGAGCATTCCTTCCATAAAGCGAAGAGGGTGAACACAAAGGGTCTGAGTTGGCGGACAAAACCAACAGCAAAAGCCAATAAAACAACTCATTGGCAAGAAAAGCATGGCTCAGAAGATGTCAAATGCGATATTTGTGATGAAATGTTGCCAGCTGCAGAGCTAGTGGACACTTTAAGACAGCCCACTCTATGACTCTATGCATCCAGGGCCAATCCTGTGCATGTCAGAGAGAAGTTTTTGATGTGATCACCACGAATATCTCTACCATGAAATCAGCTTCATAAAGACCAGCTTTTTGCCAAGGAAGACAGCCAGCGCCCCATTGGAGATCACCCCATTAACTTCTTACTAACTTTTAAGTTAATTGTAGAGGTTCTGGATGAATCGAGGATACGGTTACGCATCGGGATCAACACCGGGATTCCTCTTTTTCAGAGAGGTGCAGCAAGACAAAGGGTCCCCGAGATGCTCAGGTGGTGCGGTCGCGGGGTCCCATGCATCCGTATCGCCGCAGCAGAGTCACGGATGCAGATTTCTTCTACTTCCCACACTTGATGGGTTCCAGCCGTTCCAGCCTAGCTGATCCTAGCTGACAAACTTCCCTTGCACTTGACCACCTGACATCTCTTTGATAGATTGATGAAGCGCCACCCTCCAGCAAACATGGGACAACTGGACAATCCCTTTGTTTAGTATTGCCATGTATTGCCATACATCCCCTTCCAAATTTTCGGACAGAATTTCATCATAGGTTCGTTGGTGGGCGATCCCTTCCCTCTCAGAGATTGCCTTGCCTTTGACTCACTGAGGTCTTAGACTTCTCCCGTGGTAGCCGCAGCCGCAGCAGGCGACGACGGAGGCACTGGTCATTTGATTTGTTTTTGTTGCACCTAAGATGGACGCTGCATAGATCATAGACTTGGAACGTTTACTAGAAATAGACTTGGAACGTTTACTGTGTCACTCTGCACACAACTGCCAACCGAAAAGGGGACAGGTAAGAAGACCCTTCATGCATCGTGGGAATTGGGGAGAGGACGCTATTTTGGAGGGGCAGTGTTTTCTGGGATTTTCCTACCAGCAGTTTTGAAGAAAACAACACTTGGTTTTGGTTTCAATGAATCTCCCCTCTAGGCTACAAAAAACAATTGGTTGGGAAGTAGTCGGGTAGCAAATGCTTTTTTGTCTCTACGAATCATGCATGTGTTTAAGGATCTGTTGGAATTGTGGACAACCACTCAGAAACCAACCCGACTATCCTGCGACAATGTCAAGACCATGGAAAAAATATGTCCTTTTGAGGGCCATGGAATTTTGGTGAGCATGTTTACTGCAGTCGACGTCCATTTTTGCAATTTGAAAACGATCGGCAAACATATCACCAACAACATAGAACTTGAAAAGCTAGTACAATCATCTAAATATAGACGCTTAGATACACGACTTGGAAAAAGGTTGTCCTCTACGACGGTGGCTTCAGATTCTGCGTTTGCTCGCGGAAACGTCTCACATGCAATTTCGCAATAAGCTCCACAGGTGGCAACATTTGGAGTCTGTTCGCTGATCCACGGAACCACGGCTGACGATCGCCCCTCTCCCACAAAGTCCGACGTTTGCATACATTTGCTATGAACATCTATGAAAACTCAAACAAGCAGGACGTCTCCTGACACTTTTCACTGCGTTACTCGGCTGGAGGTTCATGTCAAGGGCATTGATCAGGATCGAATCGTGCACCCTGCATGCCGCAACCTAATGTTAGATTTCATTCCATTTGGAGTTGGGGAGCCCGGCTAAGCCTTGGAGAAGCCTTGGGGAAGGTTAGGTCAGATTGGGTTCAATCATCACATAAACACGACCTCATTTCCAAGAGGAAATGTAGAACACGTTGACGTGTTTGGTCCAAATGTTTGGACTCTGGACTCCAAAAACTTTCTCCACAACAGTGGTTCTAGGAATCTCGGAACACGTTTCTACCACTTAGCTTGCTACTCCCGCAAGGTCCAGCAGCAGCAGCCGAAGTAGCAGTCGCAGCAAGAAACGGAAGAGTCCGGAGCCTTAGAGAGGGCGTTTTATGTTTAGAGCCTTTGAGGACGAGAGGGGAGTTCATGCACATCGAAAGTAGAGCTGCAGTATCACTGTGGCGAGGAATGGAGTCGACTCTTTGTTGACTAAATGCTGTTGCCGTTGTTCGGAATCGTATATACAAATCCTGGGAATCACTTGCTCGCCGGCAACAGTTATATATCAGTTCTCAATTGGCTCTATTTTTTGAGAGGTTGTAGCGGGAACAGTCCCCTATTCAGCCGAAGCATTAGTCCATGCCACCACGCCCGCCTTCAACTAGTGGACTGCTTCCAAAGTAGCCCTCAACAGAGAACAGCTCGGGAAACACAATTGTATGTTGCACTTATTTGCGCTTGGTTCCTTGCGGTTTAAGTTGTTGTTACTTTAACCATTGCCTTTTGGTGGCTGCGTTGAACCTTTATGGCACCACTCCCAAGAATACCGTTCTCGAAAAGGTCCTATCTAGAGCAGCCAAAGCCAACTTCTATATGTGAGTAGTGCTCGATTAACTGTAGAAATCCGGAAAAAATAGAGGAAGCAAGAAAGGTAAGGGGCCCTTTTGGCTCCTTTTAGAAGGCCCTTAGCATTCTTTTTAGCTCTCTTATTGTAGTGAATCTCACTCAAGAGGTACACCCCGGACTCAGTGGATGGGATCATGGCCTCCGAATCCCTGCTCAGGCCGCCGAAGTCGGGGTGCCCCGGTGACCGGCCGTGGAACGACGAAAGCAGAATGGATGTGTTTACAGGGTCAGAATCGATCCCTGTGTTAGCGCTAGGATGTAATGAGTTTCGCCCTTGATACTTTACTTGTATGACCAAATCCCTTGTCCAAAGCGGTGACAGGGTTGGGTACCTGGATTTCTTTCAGTGTCCAATCCGATATATATATATATATGATTTTGTGCTGAGTTACTTCGAGATGGCCAATCCCATTGTCGGTAGAGCCTCAGCACTCCAACCTTTGTTTGTTGAAAGAAAGGCCTCACCCGGCCGTTGGCATGAAAGAAGCAAGAGACAGGACTTGCAGATATTTCGTCACACTTTCAGCAAGATTTAGCCAACGTGATTTTTATTTCTATTCTGACGTTCAATATTAGTATCATGTTGAATGCAACCACTCTCGGGTGCTGGTGTACGACGAAACACAAGAATATGCAGCAACAAACATTTTAACTCTGCTGAAGGGTCCAATTGGAGTTGAACCATAGTGGTCGGAGCCAAGTCGTTTGCTCTACATGTCTCCAATTTCTTTAAGCCAGGTGCGACATTTTAAGGTAATCGATTAGTAGTTCTTTGATGTTCTTTGTATCTTCTCCTCATCTGGGGTGGGGGCCGTCCGTTTTTCACAACCAGGGTTGCAGGGTGCCATGCAGGTGAACAACAACAACAACAACAACAACAACAACAACAACAACAACAACCAACAACACCACCACCACCACCACCACCAACAACAACAACAACAGCACCACAACAACAACAACAACACAGCAACAGCAACAGCTACAGCTACAGCTACAGCAACAATAACAACAACATTGTTTCAAGGAAGCAGAATAGATGATGTGGGGGTAGATGACCCACTTGTTTGAATTCACGCAAATTCGCTGTTCGATTCACTGATTCATCCCTAAGGCAAGAGCCGTCGAAGGCGGAAAGATAGGTGGGCCAATCCAAGCTGTCCAGGGGAGAAGAACAAGCGTGATTGGCACTTTAGAAAGTTTGACGTCTTGCGTTTGAAGCATGAGATCTACTATGCGTACAGATACCCTATAGTTCAGGATTATAGAATAACAATAGAATGCTTTAAACTATAATGTTGATCTTCAATCATCCAGTCTTCTCAGACATGTCCCAAGAAGAATTGTTGATGATTGTGCTTATGAGAACTTGTGAGCTACAGAGATGGCTGCTGCAAAGCACTCATAGCTCTATAACTTGATTTACAGATGGACAAGGATCCGGCAACCCAGCCACTACACCAACATGCCACACAGCCAGGAGTAGCTCTGACAGCTCCAAGAAAGAGAAGGCCTGGGAGTGCTACGCTTCGATGGTGCCCGACCCTGTTTCATTGCTCTTTGAACCAGAACTTCGAGTCGAACACATGTCCAGCACGAGACTAACTGATAGTAGCTGCCTGATTGGTGACTGCTCCCAGACTACTGGTCCATCACTAGAGGTTTGCGAGTTAGCAACCTGGACAGCTGTCTAGGGCCTATAGGAGAGGCTGTTTTTGGGATCCAAGACAACTGGGCACCAGATGACGGACCCTATGCTTTTTGTTCATAGATGCATGTGCACAGCGGGGATTTTCTTTGTTTCCCGGGGGTTGCAGAAATGTTTCGATTTTGACTGAGGGATTGATTTCAACGATAGCCAAACTGTATGACCCTGCGCTGCGCCTTTTCCAGCTTCAACACGCTATTCCTCGTCGATTGCTTGTTGTCGCCGCAAACATTACAAATCTCTGCTATGCCTCTTCACACCCATCCGCTCAGCACTCTTGGTACAAATCCCCATGCATTTGTAGCAGTTCCCAGACAAAGGTCCGATTCCAAGAGTGCTCAAGATTGTTTTGAAGTCGATCTACTTAGGGGTAACCAACCATTGCTGACTGCGATCGGAACTACTGGACTATCCGTGGCCAGCGTTTCGCAGGAAGAAGCTGAGGCCAGGACAAGGGATATATGACTGAAAAGAACAGTGCAAGCATACAGCTGCTGCCAGAATGCATTGCTAAATGCAACTGCTACTACTATAGTTGCTAGAATTGCTACAAAAGAATCCATCCAGGAGAACGCTGAGCTCAGAAGCTTCTAGTCGCCCGTATGACTGCGTGCTTGTGTTCTACAAGTTGGTAAGCCAGAGCTCAGCTTTCTATGCAAATCGGGTTGGTGCCTGTGGGTCTTGAAGCCTTGGTCGTTTCATGACAACGGGACCTTTTGTTGATGGATCTGAGTCAAAATTGGCAGAGGAAGCCTGAAGCAAAAGCTGGTTCCTTGTATATAGAAATAATTTTGGAATTGTATATTTACTTTCACTGCTCGCAACAGTGGTTATTGAGTTACTGAAAACCGCCCTCAAAGTTGTGTGCCGCTGCCGACGTTCTGGCACCCCGGTTTTTCAGAGACCGCAGGTGTTGGAGGTGGTTCCGTCCAGAAGCATATCTCAAAAACAGAGGGGGCACCCAATGTGTCAAACCTAATCTTTCTCGACCCATGGCTGAAAGATCGACATTCAAAAAAGTAACATGTTGGAAAGGATCCTGTGAGAAAGGCAGGTTGGGATTGGCGTGGGAGAACCGATGCTAGGCTTGTCTCGCCACAGAATCTAGATGTCATGCTACCAGTTGGGACAGTCCTGCACTGTCTGGCTGAGTGGACATCAGTCTCATTCGTGAAGGGCACTGCGAGGTGCAGGGACGATTGAAGTTCTCACCATTGTGAAAGATTCACCCAAACGTAACCCGACCACACTATAGACTATATATATACCACACTCATATGCAACATGTGGACCCAAATTGAAGTAGCTGAAACTGGACAGATTGAAGCACTCCATCAACTGTTAAGCTAGTTGCCAGGGAAAGGAAGAGAAAAAGGAGAAGGAGAAAGAGAATGAGAAGGAGAAGCACAAGGAGAAGGAGAAACATGACGAGAAGGACAAGCAAAAAGAGAAGGACAAGGAAAAGAAAGAGAAGAAAAAGAAAGACAAGGCATCGTTACTGCGGTGGATTGCGGTGGATTGGTCGGGTGTTCGACCAGTGAGCCAGTGCTTTTTACAGTACTAGACCGGGTTTCTATCACAGTTGATTGCACGCAGGAGAAGGAGGAAAAGGAGGAGAAGAAGAAAGACAAGGCTGTTGCAGAGCGTTGCATTGGATTGAGAGGTTCTCGAAAACTAACAGTGCTCCAGGCACAGGTTTGTACAATACATAGTCGTGTAAGTTGCAGATCTTATATGCAACAGCTGTTGAAAGTCCTCTTTGAGGTACTAAAATTTGCCATGCTTGTACACGAGTGCGAGATGTTCGTCAGAGTGGACGCTGGTTTCAATGTATATGATAGATACATGTTGCAATAAGAGGCCGGGTTGTGTTTCCCAGTATGGATGTGGCAACATATGGATCCAAGCTGCAAAAGCCATAGACCCGAGCTGAGCTGACTTACATAAGAGGATGCTTGACAGGAGAAAGATAAGTCTAAAAAGGACAAAGAGAAGAAGAAGAAGGACGGCTGCAACAGGCAGTTTCTTGTTCTCAATGAACACAGGTGCTTCATGGCGTGCAGGAGTGAACTTCAGCGAAGGAGTCGCCTTTGCAACAAGTGCTCTATTGTGAATTGTAAATGAGCTCTGATTGAACCTGTGGCACCGATCAACCCGATACAAATCATCGAACATGTATGCAGGAGACGAGAAGCCTCACCAAAGGGTGCCGTATTCATAGTCACGGCAACCAGTGAAGAAATAGAAGTACAAACCAATCGTCAACTGTGCTGGTGCTTGTGAAGTGGTGAGCCCTGGCCATTTTACAACAAGGAAGAATGAGGGAAATGCCAAAGACATGTATTGGTTCAAGCGGATCTGGAAGCCCTGCTATCCTAGTGAATATCAACAAGAGCAGACCACCCGCAGAATGACCACGTTCGACTCCCCTTGAGTGGTGGCGTGGAAAAGGCAGACACAGTGACATAGTGTAGCTGCATGTAGCTGCTTCCGCTATCCTTGAACAGTCGCAGAATATCCTGCAGTCTAGCAGCGTTTTCCTTCCAAAACCTATTGGGACCCAAGACAAACGGCACGCTTCGTAGTCCCAGTCACTGTTACAACCCCCAAGACCCACGTGAGGCCTTTACAGACGTTTGGATGTTAGAGTCCAATTCAGGGTCTGCTACAACTATGTTTTGACCTGCCTTTCAACCTCCAATAATCTCCTGCGCACAAGAATCCAAAGGAATGGACACCCGTCCCAAAAGTATAAGTCTTATAAAAATAAATCTAAATAGTCCTAATATGTCCTAATAATGATATCATATGCATATCACAGTACACGTCACCACTTGCCGTGGGACCGCAGTGGTGTAATTGACTCGGTCAGGACAAGGACCGTGAGCGCAGCCGCAGTCACGACTGAGTGTCGAGCTCCAGGGTGCGAGACGCGCGGTTTTGGTGAGCTGGTTGAGGCTTACTAGTAACAAGGGCATTACTAAGTAGTAGCTAGAAGCTACTATACATGACCTTGACCAAAGAGCTGCAAAGCTACACTGCAGACAGCATGTTCTTTTGAGACTGTTTCCTGCATGTCATGCCTGTCATGCCTTTGTCGCTGTCCACGCCATGCCCGTCAACCCCTCCATCCGAAAACACCCCATGGTGTGCATGTCTCGAGAGGGTTTCAACTCACCAGAGCAAGGACGCTACTAGGGGCTCCTGGCCTTACTGCTAGGAACAAGAAGCTACTAGGAATAAGTGCCACGCTAGTAGTAACAGGTGCCTTACTACTAGTAACAAGAAGCTACTAGGGGCTCCTGGCATCGCTACTAGGAGCAAGGACGCTACTAGGGGCTCACCAGAGCACAGCGTGTGAATATCCACAGCGTCACGATGAGCCCAGCTGCCAGAACACGATGAAGAGCGGCCCCCGCCCCTCGTCTCAGCCTAACAGCCTTGTGCGGAAAAAGCGGAGTTCTCTTGTTTAATGTGATTTGCTTGGACTGTGAGATAGGCCACGGCAGCCTCCTGGCTGCCTGGATCTAAGCAATATATCCTGGACATATCGACTATGTGTAGATAGGGATTTTGGTGACCAAGATCCATAAATTGTCCAACTCCTTTCCAGAGTTTGTGACGGCAAGCAAGCACGCCAGGGACCACCAATGGACACATGGCTGCCCTCTCTCCAAGTCTTCATGCTAAGTAGAGGTTATTTCAATGTGATTCTTATCAGTTATAGCTTACAACTTATAGTCACTCTTATAGTCATAGGCATTAGGTCGTTGAACCACTGCACTGCAATGGCATCAGTCCCAAACCTCCGATCTCTCAAACAAGCAGGGGCAAGACGGCCACTGGCACCCGGCGGCAGTTCATATTTCGCCACAGAAGTCCCCAGACTCACAGGATCTGTTTTGGAGATGAGGATGGTCATTCGTTCGGCCCCAATAGCTGGTTTGTTTGGTATTAGTGTTTGGACGTAAATTATGTCATAGACGCATTATACTATAATATATAATACAGTATACATTGTCGATTCTTTCTCGTTGTTACAGTTGGGTTTTGGTGCCGACGTGAAATCTCAAGTTCCACTTGCCGTTTTGTTTATTTGTGGCTAAGAAACAGCAGTTCGTGAAATGCTGGTACCTGGGGTTCACTGGGTGTGCTTTGGATCCTTGATGATGTTCGTTAGCTCAGCATCGGCCCAAATCAAGCTGAAAGCAGCACAATCGCCTCGTTGGGTGCCGCGAAACTCAGGCTGGAATCCTTGTCAATCCAACCACCTCAGAAGGTAGCTGGACACTCCAAAATTATTCAACACATCTCTACTGTAATATTCTCTAATCATACTTTGGAGGCCATCGCTGGTTGGAGGCCATCGCTATTAGGTTCGAGGCCATGGCTCTTAGTCTCAAAGGGTTTGTGGATTTTGGCAACCTTCCCAGCACCGAGGTGAGGTGTGCAACCACTGATGGTTCCCAAACGCCATTTGTTGGGGATCACGGAATCAGCCCGCTTGAGGCGATTTCTGGCCAACTGAACCTGAATCACTTGTTCCATGACGTCCTGCTCGTGCGCTATGAATCCAGTATTTTCAGTAGATTGGCCGTTTGCAGAGTTTCTCAGTTGGATCGGACCTTCCTCAAGTCCTACCACCCGGTAAAGCAATTGATATGGAAAGAAACGAAGGACTCCAGCACATTCCTTCACAAAAGTTGTTGAACTGGCCTATTTGGCTTACGAAATGGAGTGCCAGATCGAGCAAAGCCATGTTGTTATATGCACGGGAGTTCTGAGTGGATGGCACAGACCTCCAGAACATTGAAACATACAATATACAATAATATACAGTAAACATATAAACGACCGCGGTTGTGATATGTGGCAGGTTTGCTAAAAAGCATCCCACATGCGTGGCGAGGATATGCAAGGAAATTGCAAAAAGAAAACGACACAAACATGCAAGGCCAATGGCCACTCAGACCGGAAAGCTCGCTTGGGGGCCAAGTCTTTGTTCGTTCCTTGAAGTTTGTTTTGAGTTCATCGTGCATTTGAATAAGAAGACCCTCCAAAGAATGCTAGGAAGACAAAAAGATACTAAAACCCCAACCAGTTCTTTGTTTGCCATGATTGTTTGCTATCACACCCTTGTCCTCCTGTTCTTCTGTGAACTTTGAGAAGTATATAATAGCCTTCCGCTTCATTGGCTGCAATAAATCACATATATATAATTATACACGTGTGTGTGTAATTGCAGGTCTTGTAGTGTCTTGTCGAATTCATTCTGCTGGGACCCAGGGGTCAGGTGGGCAGGTGGATGGTTCAAGTTCCGCCCGGTAGATCCTTCGCTGAATCCGATCTAGGAACCACTGGGGCCGATGGTAATCGTAATCGTTGGTTCATTTCGAAGACAACAAAATGGGTTGCATTGGGGTCTTCAGTAAATCATCAATCCTGAATATGGGACGAACAAAAGTTACAACACACCAGTTTTCCCCACAGATCCCCACAGTGCTTGAAAGAACCTCCAAACTATATCTACACCCTGGATGACCAAGTTTACAAGTCTACACCCTGGATGACCAAGTTACAAGTAGTGGACTCCATCACAACCCAACTGGTGGAGGTTGTGCATGTTTGAGCAATCTACTCTGAAATCACTGTAGTCTACTCGGATGTTTGAAGGGCTTTGAAGCAGGCATTCATTCAATTTAAGACCATTTACAACGATGAATCAAGTGGATTGGATACTTTTGTAGCTCTTTCCTGGTTTGAGAGCAGATCATTCAGCTGGACCTGTTATACATTTTTGGGGGTTCTATTGAATCTATTGCAGCAGCTGCATCTACCATGTCACACAGATACTAAAAACACCCGGCTTATGCACCCCGGTCCAGGTGGTTCTTCCTTCATCACTAGAGTCAGTAGAAATTGGAGTGTCAGTCCCTGGACTTCTTCTCGATCAGGAGAACGAAGGAAGATCCCTTGCCAAACCCCTGTTCCCTGCATTTCTAATGATTTTTGCAGCCTTGGCGGCGACCCCGGGACCGGGCCTCAGGTCTTGCTGCGACATGGGCCGATGGCCTCTAAGGGCTTGGTGGGCTGGCTGGACGTGGACTTGAGCGAGGAGGGTACCAAGGAGGTGCCTTCTTCGGTCAATGATTGGTTTGGATCTACGGAACCACTGGTCAAACAAGCAGGTGAATATTTTTTTGTGCCGGGCTTTTAGTCAGCCGACTAGTATGAACAAACCATTTTTATTGAACACTACGCATTGGCCATGCATTGCTAATCTTTTTCAATCTTTCTCAGCCCAAGTGTTCAAGCTCTTTGAGCTGAAGTTCTTACCAATTTCGGGTTGCATGGTCTGCTTGCTTGGTTGCTTGCTGGAGTTTCTTTGCATTGAAGCTTCCTAAAAGTCGGGGGCAAGAGAAGTACTGTAAGAATCGACATGCAGAAGTGGATAGAAGCGGACACTCACTTTGACTTGGAAAACATCTTGGGCAGAACACCTGGAAAAGTGCAATGATCTCTGTCTCTCTCTCCCTCTCTCTCTCTCTATATATATATATTTGTACTCCACCGTTTGTTGTCAGCAGAATCAAATTCATCATGTTTTTCCTTGAGTGATCCTTTTTTGGTGCTGGTAGACTGTGCTCGACGCTCAACATGTTTGAAACTGCTTGCTGCTTGCATTGTTCTCTCCGGCGTCTTTCAAATGCTCTGGACTTGTCTAGGCGGCGGCAGCGGGAAAGTTGTTGAAGGAGAAAGGCCTCAAGTGCGATATCGTTTTCACGCCTTGGCCCTCAGCTCCCGAGTTCCATGGGTTCCATCGATTCATGGATCGTTCAACCAGATGTGATTTCCAAGATGTGAAGACGCTTCTTTTTATCATTGTTTTATCTATCAATCTACTGTACCTGGAGTCTCCATGAGTCTCCAACATTTTTACTTTGGACGATTTGACATGGACCTATCAATGATACAGCTGCTTGTACCATCTTGTACCTAAAGGTGCTTAGAGACCGGGTACTTGAGGATGACTGTTCCAAAATGTACCGAATGAATCGCTAGCTCCATTGTTCTTCGCCGGATGCCACTGGGTCGGTCCGCCATCGCTCAGGTCACTCCTCCGCCAATGCCTCAGTTGTTCGGCCGAGCAAGATTAGTAGTAACAAGAAGCTACTAGGAACAAGTGCCTTACTAGTAGTAACAAGAAGCTATTAGAATTTAATATGAAGGCAATTGGCCGAAACCGCACTTTTTTTCGCCTCCCGCCTTCAGCACCAAACACCAATTCCGCCCGGCTCTGTCTTCGCCGATTCGAGGCCGCTCGGTGCGCTGTGCATGGACGGCGCTCATGGAGATGGATCACTTCGCCATGCCGGTGATCAACTCCTGGAGGCACCACTTCCTGGACGCCTGTGGACCCATATGGAATTTCTGAAAGGAACATCCATCTGATGGAAGCCTCGAAAATAGGAGGTGGGAAGTCCTTTTGGATGGAGTTGAGGCCCTGAGGCCGGAGGGAAGGATATGGAAGGATGCATGCGTCCAGGCATGTCAGTATTGGTCAAAGCCTGTTGCAACCTAGTCCACAGAAGAATCGCAACTTGGACGATGTGAGCATTGGCATCGATCGCCAAGATTTTGTTGAATGCGTAGACCGAGCAACGCAGAGATCCCACAATATCCCAAACTGCAATTTTCAGGGTCCGATTTTTTAATTCTAATTGTTACTAGAAGCGATGCACTTGTTACTAGTAGCGTGGCACTTGTTTCTACTAGTAAGGCACTTGTTACTAGCGCCCTTAAACATCGGATCGAAGTTGCTGCATCTGATTTTCTTTGATCTTGCATGAAAACACCTAAAATCGGATTTCAGATCCACGGGATGCCAACATCTGCCACGATCTCGTGCCGGGATCTTCGGAGGCTGAACGAGCGCCACTTTGGGGACTTGCAGGGCAAAGAGGGCGTTGGACTCCTTGGCCGTTTGGGAGTTTTCTTGGATGCTTTGCAGATGTATCCTATGTCCAGGCAATTACTCGTCGGGTTGGACCCATGCATATGAGGACTCATATGCTTGTCATGCATATGTCTTGCATTTCTGTTGTCAAGTTACAATCAAATTGTCTGTCACGAAAGGTATATAGTTTTCATTTTGATATCAGTGGTGCAACGCCCGGCTGAAGGATACTTCTATAATTTGTTTCAAGTCGTGATGGTCCATGTGCTTGGAGACTTTTTAAACGCAATCTTCGGTGCACTTGTCTTGGCCACCGAAGCTGAAATGAGAGCGACGATCACCTCCCCCCTGGTGTTTGAACCACCATCCCTAGACCGTTCGCAGTGTTTCCACACATAACAACTGTACGAGGTGGATTCAACAGAAGTGGACTGGTAATGAACAGTGTTTTCACGTGTTTTCGTTGTATGGATGTGGCCCAGGCACCCCAAAAGATTCAAATCATGAATGGCTACGGCTCCAAAACGGTGGAAACATCGATGCTGGTCCAAGTTGACCCGCAACAGCGCTTTACCAGCCTACTGGGAGTTATATTATATAGTCGTGCCTGTGCCTCTGTTTCATTTCACTCAAACAACTTGGGCCATGGGGAAGCCCTTTCTCAAGAATACTGTGAGTGTACCAGAAACCATCAGAAAAGCATGATTCGTATCGCCATCTCGTGTTCTTGAGCTTAGGGGGAAGATATGTTAATTCAACCGACATTCGTAGCTGTTACAAGCAGGAAGCTGACAGCCCTCTTCTGGATAGGGTGCACTGTGGATCCAGTGTTGGTTGTAGTGACGAGTGCCTTTCAATAGCGGTTGGATCATCTCAAGATGCTGCACGATTGACAAAAGTTCCTATCTACGCTGGATTCAGATGCTGCAGATTTTTGCTTGAAGCACTCATTGTCCATGGTTGTCCCAACCCTCTGGGTTTCAAAGGCAAGGTCACTTGTTTGCAATGTTGAACGCCGCTCGCTCCGAAAGCGAAACCAACGCCGTTCTGAAGCTCAAGTGGGCTGACAGTTGATCAAAGCTGAAGACCCCAAGATCATTAATGGATGGAACCCCCACCAGTATTAACTCTTCTCCTGCCACTATTTCGACCGGAGAGCAATGTCAAGAACAGTGCAGAGTCGGGGGTTTCACATTTTATCATGTGTTGTTGAACTCAAGACCTGTGGGACATTGTGGAAGGTTCTGAGTCCAGAACGCCATTGTTTCACTTATTATTTCAAGAAGCTCTTGTGCTTGAACCGTGTAGGCCAAGATCGCAAAAGGGCTTCTAGCTACACTGCACTGTTACCATCCAAAACTGATAACACACATTGGTAGGTACGTAAACACAGTAAGCCTTGGACCAAGGTCCACCGAGGTCAAACGGTTCATCTCGCGATTTGGACGACACGGAAAGCGCTTTGCGGCTCCATGGAGCCGTTGCTGGAGGAGCCGCAGCCCTGGACCTGGGTGACTGGGCAAGCGGCCGTAAGCGAGAGTCCTGCTTTGGCCAAAAAGATCTATGTATCATATACATCCATATACAGCGATATCTGTGATAGAGAAAGCATGTTGTAAGATATTGTAAGCACGACAAGTGGTGGCTTCGGGAGAGTACTCGACTTCCTTCATTGGCTGAGTGCCTTGTTGGTTCGGTTGAGTGTAAGAAATAAATGGGACACCAGAAGAAGTACTGACACTACTATATACTACTACTACTACTACTACGACTACTACGACTACTACGACTACTACGACTACTACGACTACTACGACTACTACGATTATTACGACTACTACGACTACTACGACTACTACGACTACCACTCCTAGTCCTACTCCTACTCCTACTACTGCTACTACGACTACTACTACCACTACTACTACTACTACCACTACTACTACTACTACGACTACTACGACTACTACGACTACTACGATTATTACGACTACTACGACTACTACGACTACTACGACTACTACGACTACCACTCCTAGTCCTACTCCTACTACTGCTACTACGACGACTACTACTACTACCACTACTACTACTACCACTACTACCACTACTACCACTACTACCACTACTACCACTACTACCACTACTACCACTACTACTACTACTACTACTACTACTACTACTACTAATTACTACTACTACTACTAATTACGACTACTACTACTACTACTACTACTACCTACTACCTACTACCTACTACCTACTACTTATTATTTACTTAGTACGATGGCAACTACTTACTACTTACTGCTTACGACTTTCTACTTACTACTATCTACTACCTACCTACCTACCTACCTCCCTCCCTCCCTCTACCTACCTACCT